TTTTCTTCTATTTCATTCCATTCCATTTTCTCCTCACTTCTCTTTCATTCCATTTTCTCTTCTCTCCTCTCCTCTCTTCCCCTCCATTCCTTCTCTTCCCTTCCCTTCCATTTTCTCTTTTCTTTTCTTCTATTTCATTTCATTCCATTTTCTCCTCACTTCTCTTTCATTCCATTTTCTCTTCTCTCTTCTCCTCTCTTCCCTTCCCTTCCTTCTCTTCTCTTCCCTTTCCTTTCCTTCCCTTCTCCATTTGACTATTCTATTCTATTCTATTCTATTCTATTCTATGACTATGACTAACAATATTATGCTTCTTTGCATTGAAATGTATGATACCTATCACACCAGTCACACATTGATATGTATAAATAATATAAAATGAAGAACTTGTTTGGGGGAAAAAAACCATGGCTTTTTAAAAAGGTTTTTAACATATTTTTTTTGAAAGCCAAGGACATTTTTCTTGATATGTGGGAATTTCAGCACTAAACAATAGAGAGCATTTTCTGAAGTGCTGGCACACTTTGAATTTTTAAGGAAGATAGAGATTATTCTGGGAACGAAATAACAAACATTAGCCACCCACGGAGTGCGGTCTACGTTTGCTATTGTTCCAGTCCCCACATGTCCTTGATTTATGACCATTCATTTAGTGAGACCGTTCACAATCCCAAAGGCATGGGGGGGAAAAATGACTGAGGACTCTTTTTTTCACACTTACGACCGTTGCAAACAGCCCCACGGTCACCTGTTAAGTGAGTTTTGGCAACCGACCCGTATTTATGACGGTCGTAGTGTCCCGGGGTGTGTGTGTGTGTGTGTGTGTGTCACACACAATCCCCTTTTGTCACCTTCTGACAAGCCAAGTCAAGGGGGAAGCCGTATCAACAACTGTGTGGCTAACTTAACAACTGCGATGATTCGCTTAACGGCTGTGGCAAGAAAGGTCGTAAAACGGGGGTAAAACTCGCTTTAAAAGCATCTTGCTTACTGACAGGCATTTTGGGCTTGATTTGTAAGTTGAGGACGAACTGCAATGAATGCCTTTTAGTGGCTTGATCACTGATATATCACAGACACCAACGGTATGCCTCATCAGTTATATCTGTGTCCCATAAAAAGACTTCAACCTTCCCTCCTTACCTTCAATAAATGCTTTCGTGCTTTGCCGGAATTACCTGGTGATTGATTATTTTCAGGTAGATACGGGGGAATACACAAAAGGGAGGGGATTATTGCCCAATGGGTTGTGTGAAGTCATGCACAGAAGCCATACACAACACAGCTAGCTTGAGCAGGGGGGTGGACTAGAAGGACTCCAAGGTCCCTTCTATTCTATTCTATTCTCTTTATCTTATCTTATCCTGTCCTGTCCTATTCTATTTCTATTTCTATTCTATTCTNGTTTTCTTATTTCTTTACTTCACCTGTTTAGAGATAGTACCTTTTATTTTATTTTATTATTTCGTTTCATTATTTTACTTCATTTTATTTTATTTTATTTCATTTTATCTCATTTTCTTATTTCTTCATTTCACTTTACTTGTTTAGAAACAGTATCTTTTTATTTTATTATTTCATTTCATTATTTTATTTCATTTTATCTCATTTTCTTATTTCTTCATTTCACTGGTTTAGAGACAGTACCTTTTCATTTTATTATTTCATTTCATTATTTCATTTCATGTTATTTTCTTTGTCCATTTCACTTCGCCTGTTTAGAGATAGTACTTTTTATTTTATTACTTCATTTCATTATTTCATTTTATGTTATTTCATTTTAACTTACGTCTTCACCTTACTTGTTTAGAGAAAGTACATTTTTATTTTATTATTTCATTTCGTTATTTCGTTTCATTTTATCTCATTCTATTTCATTTCTCCCTTTCCCTTCGCCTGTTTCGAGAGACTACCTTTTTTTTATTTTATTTTAATTATTCCATTTCATTTCTCCATCTCACTTCGCCTGTTTAGAGACAGTACTTTTATTTTATTCTATTTCTTGGCTTTGCTTCACTTTCCTTGATTAGAGACAGTTCCTTTCTATTTATTTATTTTTTTTCATTTTATCTCATTTTGTTTTATTTTTAGGGCTGCGGCTGAATTTGGGAAGGATTCAAGGTTGCTCAGCCTCCAGTTCTCAGCTTCCAGCTGTTGATGGTTTTTTTTTTTTCCTTTTCTCGTGCCAAACAGAGAGCGAAAGAAAGTGGCACAGATAACTTAGCAAGGAAGGGGGAATTTCTGCTTTATTTTTTGCCCAAATTCTTCGCAGCCAAGCCTCGCCTTACCTCGCCTGGCCAAAAAGGAAGTCAGGGCTAACGTTGGTGTGCCGAAAGCCAGGTTAGCCTGACAGATCTCTACACCTGGCCTCCTTTCAACAATTAAAAAAACCCTAGGAGGAACCAGGAAGAATAAAATCTCTTGCTCGGATCTTTCCAAATCAATTTACTAGGAGTAAAGGAGGGGGGAAAAAACCCTCCGCTTTTCCTGAAGTAGATTTGCGTAGTCCTTGACTTACAACACTTCGCTTAGTGACCGAAGTTACAACGGCATTGGGGGGAAAAAGGGACTTACGGCTGTCTTTTGCCCTTAACGGCCGTTTTTCACACTTAACGACCGTTGCAGCATCCCCGGGTCGCGTGATCAAAATCCAGACCCTCGGCAACCGATTCGTATTTGCGACGGTCACAATGTCCCGGGGGGAGGGGAGGGGTGTAGAGTGTCATGGGATCCACTTTGGCGACCAGCAAAGTCAATGGGGGAGCCAGACTCACTTAACGACCATATTCATAACTTAACAAATGCAACGATTCGCTTACCAAAGGAGGCAAGGAAAGTCGTAAAAGGGGATGAAACAATGGTCCCGTGACCCCTGGATGGTCGTAAGTGTGAAAAATGGTCGTAAGTGTGAAAAATGGCCGTAAGTGTGAAAAAATGGTCGTAAGTGTGAAAAACGGTCAGAAGTGCCTTTTCCCAGTGCCCTTGTAACTTCAAATTTCATCACTAAACAAATGCTTGTAACTTCGGCTCTCTCTTTTTTGGCCCACAATTCCTAGCAATACTTACTGGAGTCTCCTATCACAACCACAAATTTGTTGTGCAGCAACTGTTGAGCCTCCTTGGAAGTAAAATCGTGGAAGTTGACTTTTTTCATGGCGAAACCAGACTGGGGTCCCACCTGCCACTGGGATTCTCTCCTGCAGGAAAACAGAGAAGAGAGTTTAAAAAAAAAAGAAAGAAGAAGAACCCCAAGAGATAACACAATAACAGAGTTGGAAGGGACCTTGGAGGTCTTCTAGTCCAACCCCCTGCTCTGGCAATGTTGCATTTGTTCCCGAAGGCTAGAAGATGAGTGAAAGGAAACCAATCCATGGATAGGAGAATCCTGGAAAACTATCATTTCATCCCTAATCCTTTTTTTACAAAATGCAGAATGACAAGGTGGGAAGGGACCTTGGAGGTCTTCTAGTCTAGTTCAGCCAGGAAACCTTATACCATTTCAGCAGTTTATTGAGCATCAGACATGATTTATATAGTTTCTTAGTTTCTCAGTTCTCACCTACTTTATGTGTTTGTTTGTTTGTTATTTGTTATTATTTATTATTATTTATTATTATTTATTATTTATTTATTATTATTTATTATTATTTATTATTATTTATGTATTATTTATTTATTATTTATGTATTATTTATTTATTATTTATTTATTATTATTTATTATTATTTATTATTTATTTATTATTTATTTATTTTTATA